GTCCTTGGGTGCACACATGTGGACTCTGTGGGAGCACTCGTGTGGATCGCATCGGTGCATGTGTGGACTGTGTGTGGGTTCACATGTGTGGGGGGTGCACATGTGTAGACTGTGTGTGGGTACATGTGGACCATGTTAATTATTGCATTCTTGTGTGGGGGTGCACATGTGTGAACTATGCATGGGTGTACATGTGTGGACTGTGTGGGGGTGCAAGTGTGTGGACTTTGCATGGGTGTGTGTGAACTGTGTGCATGGGTGTATGTGTGTGCATTGGTTCATGTCCATGAACAGTGTGTGGATGTGTGTGTTGACTGTGTGTGAGTGAGCACATGTGTGTGGGTGCACACATGTAGACTGTGTGTGGGTGCATGTGTGGACTGTGTGTGGGTGCACACATGTGGACTGCACATGGGTGCATGGGTACACATGTGTGCATGGACTGGATGCCAGCTTTAATGTAGTTTGGAAACATTCAGACATTGTCAGGTTCAAAATCCCTTCCAGGTGACTACATGTATGGATAAGCCATGATGGGTCTCTTGAAATGCAGGTGGCAGGTGCCTCGGAAACGCCCTCCTGAAGGCAGCATTGTGACTCGGGAATGGGAGGAATGGAGGTATGGATGTGGCATGTGGTCCAGGTGCAGCTGGAATGCTCAGTCCAGTTAGGAAGGTGTGAAAGTTGCTTTCTCAAGCCAGCAAAGCTGGCACATTAACATGCTGGCTGGGGCTGAGCCATTCCCAGCAGGGATAGTTTTAACTTTCAGGGATGCAGGGAAGAGCTGAGGAAGGATGCGGTCTTAAGCTTGTCCTGGCAGGAAGACACACAGCATCACACAGGAAGAGGGAGGAGACCTGTGGACTGTGTGTGGGGGCGCACATGTGGACTGTGTGTGGGTGCATGTGTGGACTGTGTGCATGGGTGTTCATGGGTGCACATGTGTGGACTGTATGGGTGCATGTGTGTGCACTGTGCATGGGTATGTATGGGTTGTGCGTGGGTGCATGTTTGTGGTTGCACATGTGTGGACTGTGTGTGGGTGTGTGTGGACTGTGTGCATGGGTGAACACATGTGCATGGGTGGACTGTGCATGGGTACGTGTGTGGACTGTGTGTGTTGGTGGTTGAGTGGGTGAGTGGGTGGGTGAGTGGGTGAATGAGTGGGTGGTTGAGTGGATGAGTGAGTGACTGGGTGCATAGGTGAGTGGGTGAGTGGTTGAGTAGATGAGTGAGTGGGTGAGTTGGTTAGTGGGTGGGTGAGTGGATGAATGAGTGAGTAGGTGAGTGGGTGGATGGGTGACTGATTGGATGAGTGGGTGAATGAGTGGGTGAGTGTGTCAGTGAGTGGGTGAACTGTTGATTGGGTGAGTGGGTGGATGAGTGGGTGAGTGTGTGGGTGAGGGGGTGTGTGGTGAGTGGGTGAGTGAGTAGCTCAGTGAGTGGGTGAGTGTGGGAGTGGGTGACTAAGTGGGTGAGTGAGTAGCTGAGTGGTTGAGTGGGTGAGTAATTCGGTGAATGGGTGAGTGGGTGGGTGAGTGGATGAATAAGGGGGTAAGTGAGTAGGTGGTTGAGTGAGTGGGTGGGTGAGTGGATGAATAAGGGAGTGAGTGAGTAGGTGGTTGAGTGAGTGGGTGAGTGGTAGAGTGGGTGAGTGTATGAGTGGATGAGTGGGTAGGTGAGTTGGTGACTGGGTGAGTAGGTGGGTGAGTGGATGAGTGAGTGGGTGACTACTGAGTGGGTGAGGGAGTGGGTGAGTGCATGAGTAGGTGAGTGAGTGAGTGAGTGGGTGACTGACTCAGTGGATGAGTGAGTATGTGAGTAAGTGGGGGAACTGGTGAGTGGGTGAGTGAGTGGGTGAGTAGGTGAGTGAGTGAGTGGATTAGTGAGTGTGTCAGTGGGTGAGTTGGTGACTGAGTGACTGGGTGAGTGGGAGACTGACTGATAGGATGAGTGAGTGGGTGAAGGATGCATGTATGGGTTAGTGAGTGGGTGAGTGCGTTGATGAGTGGGTGAGTGAGTGGGTGAGAGGGTGAATGAGTGGGTTAGTTGGTGAGTGTGTGAATGGGAGAGTCAGTGAGGGAGTGAGTGACTGACTGATTTGATGAGTAAATGGGTTAGTGGGTGAATGCATTAATGGGTGAGTGAGTGAGTGAGTGGGTGAGTAGGTGACTGAGTGGGTGAGTGGATGAGTGGGTGATTGGGTGAGTGGTTGAGTGAGTGGGTGGGTGAATGGGAGACTGAATGAGTATATGAGTGAGTGGGTGAGTGTGTGATTGGGGAGTGACTTGTTGAGTGGGTGATTGGGTTAGTGGGTGTGTGAGTGGGTGAGTGAGTGGATGAGGAGAGGATGAGTGGGTGAGTGGGTAAGTGGGTGAGTGAGTGGGTGGGTGAGTGAGAGACTGAGTAGATGAGTGACTGAGTGGGTGAGGAAGTGGGTGAGTAGGTGAGTGAGTGGGTTAATGGGTGCATGGGTGAGTGTGTGTGAGCCAGTGAGTGGATGAGTGAGTGGGTGATTGAGTAGGTGAGTGGCTTAGTGGGTAGGTGGGTAAGTGAGTGGGGGAGTGAGTTGGTGAGAAGGTGAATAGGTGACCCACTCACCCACTCAGCCACTCACCGACTCACTCATCCACCCATCCACTCACTCACTCAACCACTCACCTTCTCCCTCATCTAGTCATTCAGTCTCCCACTCACCCACTCACCCACTACCCACTCAACCACTTGCCCACTCACCCAGTCTCCCACTCACTTATCCCCTCAGTCACTCACCACTCACTCACCCACTCAGTCAGTCACCAATTCACTTATCCACTCCACATCTTAGTGAGACTAGATGTTTCTGCTGAAAGAATTCATCAGGGACATCCATACTCTAGAAATTCATTGTCACTCAAGGATTCCATTGTATTATGCTACCGTTCACTATGTGCTGACGGAAAATCCTTTCACTAGCTCCTCGCTGTCAAATACACCACAGAATTCATATTTCAGAGACATACTTCAACAGAAGGCTGAAAACAGTGTGTACTGACACTCCACTTATTCCATTTTCAATGGCAACGACTACAGTGATAATGTGTTCCACAGTGAACATGCTCTGGTGGACAACTGGCCTTGACAACTCTCATTCCTGTGTTATTTAGAGGAGTGCCAACCCTTCACCACTGCATTGTCAGAATGGAATTTATGTGGAGCAATGAAAGTGCACATTTAGCTTGATATTCACTTCTAGCTTCACAAACGTGTTTAGTGTAAAAGTTACCCACTAATGTCTGCATGCATGTCTTAGGTTACACTTGTCTTGTAGAGAAAATACATTGGAGAGAACTGTGATATAGGAATTAATGGTATTTCACAGACGATACACTTCTCCACTCTCATTCACATATGTGACGCTGGAAAATAGATTTTGGAAGCCCTTGCCCTGACTTTGCAGGAAAGTGAAATTTCACAAAGATACTTCAATAGAGGTGTGAAAAACAGTTCACATGACTGCAGGCAGCATGCGCTTTGTCTTATCATGGAATGAGTCCTTTGAGTTGGGGTTATGAACACTGCAGAAAGTGTTTTCTTCAAACACACATCACATAGCCTTTGTCTTTCCCCAGGGGATGTGCAAGAACTCAAACAATTGAGTACTGTTTTTTCCTGAGAGAAATGCCTGTGGTGAGCAAAGGGGACAGTTAGTTTGTATTCATTTTTACATTCACAAAACTGTGTTGTTCACCTCAGGTAGTAGGCTTTACGAGCACATCTTAGGGAGACTGGACATTTCTGCTGAAAAAATTCATCGGGGACATCTATACTCTAGTAATTCATTGTCACTCAAGGATTCCAGCATGATATGCTACCATCCACTCTCATGCTGACAGAAAATTGCAAGAACAGTGGCCGGAGGGCCGAGCCAGTAGAACTGTGGCCAGAGGACCAAGCCAGGAGAACCATGGCAGGAGGGCCAAGACACGAGAATCACAGCCATTTGGCCTAGCTAGGAGAAGGGCAGCTGAAGGGCCGAGCCACAAGAACTGCAGCCAGAGGGCCTAGCCGGGAGAATTGTGGCCTGAGGGCCAAGTTGAGAGGACCACGACAGGAGGGCTGAGCTGGGAGAAGAGCGGCTGGAGGAACGAGCAGGGAGAACCGCATCTAGAGGGCTGATCGGGAGAACCGCATCAGGAGGGCCAAGATGGGAGAACCGTGTCTGAAAGGCCAAGATGGGAGAATCGTGGCTGGAGGTCCAAGTCGGAAGAACTGCAGCCAGAGAGCGGAGCCAGGAAAACCACGGAGAGTTGAGCCCAGATAACTGTGGCCAGTCGGCCAAGATGAAAGAAGGGTGGCCAGAGGGCCGAGCCCAAAGAACCTAAGCCGAAGAACCGAGCTGGGAGAACTTCAGTCGGAGGCCCAAGATGGGAGAATCACAGCCAGAGTTGTGAACCGGGAGACCCACTGCCAGAGGGCCAAGTTGGGAGAACTGCAGCTGGAGAACTGAGCTGGGAGAGCCACGGCCAGAGGGCTGAGCCTGAGAAGGATGGTCAGAGGGCCAAGCTGGGAGAACTGGGGCCAGAGGGCTGAGCCTGGAGAAACGCAGCCAGACAGCCGAGCTGGGAGAACTGTGCCAGGAGGGCTGAGATGGCAGAATCGTGGCCAAAGATCCAAGTCAAGAGAACTGTGGCCAGAGAGCCAAGTCAGGAGAACTGCAGCCAGAGAGCTGAGCTGGGAGAACCGGGTTCGATTAGCTGAGCAGGGAGAATCATGCCTATAGGGGTGAGCCAGGAGAACCGCGTTCAGAAGGAGAAGACGGGAGAACTGTGGCTGGAGGGCCCATCCAGAATACCCATGGCTGGTGGGGAGAGGCGGGAGATGTGCCGCTAGAGGACCAAGCCAGGAGAACCACGGCCAGTCCACTGAGATGGGAGACAGGTGGCTAGAAGGCAGAGTTGGGAGTACAGCAGCAGCAGGGCCAAACTAGGAAAGACATGGCTGGTAGGTGAAGGCGGGAGATGCCCGGCCGACAGCTGAGCCAGAAGAAATGCGGCAGTTCGGCCAAGACTGGAGAAGGGTGGCTGGAGGGTCAAGTCAGGAGAACCACAGCCATAGGGCAGAGCCAGGTAAACTGCGACCAGTGGGCCGCAGCCCAGGCCCAGACAGTGAGTCCCGCCAGGCCAGCTGGTCAACCCCTGAAACCCGGGCCCAGAAATTAAGTACTCCCTGGCCATCTGCTCCACCTGGGCAGCCTGGACCCAAACACAAAGTCCTACTGGGCCAGCAGGTCAACAACAGCTGGCCCATAGACTAAGTCCCACCTGGACAGCTGGTCGACTGCCAAAACCCCGGCACAGATTAAGTCCATCTGGGACAGCTGGCCGACACTCACAGCCCAGGCCAAGAGACAAAGCCCCCCAGGCCAGCTGGTAGACCCCCACAGCCAGGGCCAAAACAGTAAATATCACCATGCCAGCAGGTCGACCTGGGTAGACCAGGCCCAGAGACTAAGTCCAGCAGGCCAGGGGGCCAACAACGGCTGCCCAGGCCAAGAGATTAAGTCCCTCAGGGCCAGCTTGTCCACCCCCGCAGCCCGGGTCCAGAGACTGAGTTCGCCAGGTCAGATGGTTGACCCATGCAGTCCTGGCCCAGAGACGGTGTCGTGCCGGACTAGCTTATCAACCCCGCAGCCCAGATCCAGAGACTAAGTCTTGCCAGGACTGCCAGTTGACCCAGGCAACCCAGGCCCAGAGATTAAGTCCTGCATGACCAGCTGGTCGAACTGTGCAGCCCAGGCCCAGAGACTAAGTCCCGCAGGGCCAGTTGGTCACCCCAGCCTGGGCCCAGAAACTAAGTCCTGGGGAGCCAGCTAGTTGAGCCCCGCAGCCCCAGCCCAGAGACAAAGTCCCACCACGACAGCTGTTCTATTTGGGCAGCTCTGGCCCAGAGACTAAGTCCTGCTGAACAAACTGGTCCATGCCCACAAACTGAGCCAAGAGACTAAGTCCCTTCATGCCAGCTGCTCAACACGTACATCCTGGGCCCAGAGACTAAGTCCAGCCAGGCCAGTTGGCCGACGACAGCCGCCCAGGCCAAGAGATTAACTCCCGCAGGGCCAGCTTGTCGACTCCCACAGCCATGGCCAACAGACTAAGTCTCACTGGGCCAGCTGGTCGACCCGGGCAGCCCAAGCCCAGAGACTAAGTCCTGCCAGGCCAGCTGGTCAACCCAGGCTGCCTGGGCCCAGAGATTAAGTCACACCAGGCCAGCCGGTGGACCCAGGCAGCCTGAGCCCAGGCAGTTATGTCCCACCAGGCCAATTGGTCCAACCATGCAGCCCAGGCCCAGAGACTAAGTCCCACTGGGCCAGCTGGTCGAACCTCGCAGCCTCAACATAGACACTAAGTCCTTCCAGTCCAGCTGGTCAACCTAGGCAACCTGGGCCCAGAGACTAAGTCCCTCCAGGCCAGGTAGTCAACCCAAGCAGCCTGGGCCCAGAGACTAAGTCCCTAGAAGCCAGGTCATCAAGCCCCATAGCCCAGGGCCAGAGACAAAATCCTGCCAGGCCAGTAGTTCTACCCGGACAGCCCTGGCCCAGAGACTAAGTCCTGCTGAGCCAGCTCGTAGATGCCCTGTAACTGGGCCCAGACACTAAGTCCCTTTGTGCCAGTGGGTCAACACGTGCATCCCGGGCCCAGAGATTAAGTCAGCCTGGCCATCTGGCCAGTGACAGCCGCCCGGGCCAAGAGATTAAGTCCCAGAGGGCTAGCTGGTCGACCCCCGCAGCCATGGCCCACAGAATAAGTCATGCTGGGCCAGCTGGTCGACCCCTGCCACCCAGGCCCAAAAACTAAGTCCCGCCAACCAGCTGGTGGACTCAGGCAGCCCAGGCCCAGAGACTACATTGCTGCTGGGCCAGTTGGTTGACCCCCACAACCTTGGTCTGGAGACTAAGTCCTGCCTGGCCAGGTGGTCAACCCGAGCAGCCCAGGCCGAGAGAAAAAGTCACACTGGGCCAGCTGGTTGACCTGGGCAGCCCTGGCCCAGAGACTAAGTCCTGCCGAGCCAACTGCTCGACGCCTGGAAACTGGGCTCAGACACCAAGTCCCATCATACCAGCTGGTCAACACACACAACCCAGGCCCAGAGACTAAGTCCTGCCCGGCCAGCTGGTTGACCCCTGCAGCCAGGGCCCAGAGACTAAGTCCCGCCAGGTCAGCTGGTAGACCCCCACAGCCCGGTTTAAGAGAGTAAGTCCCACCATACCAACTGGTCAACCCAGGCAGACCGGGTCCAGAGACTAAGCCAAGCAGGGCGAGCTTGTCAACCTCCACAGGCCCGATGTGTGGACTATGTTCAATTTGGCCAACTGGTCAACTCAGGCAGCACGGGCCAAGACTAATTCTGCTGGGCCAGCTGGTCCTTCCCAGCAGCCCGGGCCCAGAAACTAAGTCTTGCCAGGCCAGCTGGTCTACCCAGGCACCTTTCCCAGAGACCAGCACCTGGAGACTACATCCCACCAGGCCAGCTAGTTGACCCTGGCAGCTGAGGCACAGAGACTTAAGTCCCGCCAGGACAGCTGGTCTACCTGGGCAACCCAGGCCCAGAGATTAAGTCCTGCCTTGCCAGCTGGATGACCCAGGCAGACCTGTCCCAGAGACTAAGTTGCGCTGAGCCAGCTTGTCTACCCCTGCAGCCCAGGCTCACAGACTCAAGTCTCACCTGGCCAGCCGGTCGACCTCAGCAGCCCTGGCCCAGAGACTAAGTTTTGCTGGGCCAGCTAATTGACCCAGGCAGCCAGGGCCAGAGAGTAAGTCCTGCCAGTCCAGCTTATTCACCCACACAGCCCTGGCCTAGACACTAAGTCCCACAAGTCCAGCTGTTCAACCTGGCTGGCCCGGGCCCAGAAAATAAGTCCTGCCAGGCCAGCTGGTTGAACCAGGCACCTCGGACCCAGAGACTAAGACCCGATGGGCCAGCTGGTTGACCCTAGCTGAGCGGGCCCAGAAACCAGGTCATGTGGTCCAGGTGGTCTATCCCTGCCACCTGGGCCCAGAGACTAAGTCCCGCCATACCAAAAGAGTAAGTCCCACCACGCCAGCTCATCAACCCTCGCAGCCCAGGCCAAGAGAGGAAGTCCCACCCGGCCAGCTGGTTGACCACCACAACTCTGGCCTAGATACTAAGTACTGGCACACCATCTGGTTGACCCGGGCAGACCAGGCCCAAAGACTAAGTCTCATCAGGCCAACTGATCGACTCTCCTAGCCCTGACCAAGAGACTAAGTCCTGCCACACCAGCTGGTCATCTCCCGCAGCCCAGGCCTGGAGACTATGTCCCGCCAAGCCACCTGGTCAACCCTGGCAGCTGAGGCACAGACACTTAAGTCCCACCAGGCCAGCTGGTTGACCTAGGCAACCTGGACCCAGATACTAAGTCCTGCTGGGCCAGCGTGTCAAACCAAGCAGCCAGAAGAATGTTTTCCTCCATCCTGCATGCCCCATGGATGGAGCAGGAGTCCTGATCAACCTCCACCGAGGCAGAGAGGTGTTGCGCATGGGTCACTGGCCAGCAGTGACCACGGAACGCTGTGGATGGCTAGACGATAAACACGCGAGAAAAAACAACATGCACAGAGACAGACTAGTTTCTGTGGGGAAGTAGGGACGAAATGGCTATCCCCCCTAGTGGGGAGCGCGCCGATTTAGTCCATACCTGCTTTTATTGGGCTCATTCTGCATAATAATTCAGGTAAAGTACAGTACTCATTAGGGGAAGTAAGGAACCATAGAAAACAAAGAACTCTGCCAGTCTATTGAGTTGGGGGTCAAAGAGCTGTAAGACTGAGGAACAAAATAACCTCCTCCTAAGACCCTTCTCATTCAACTGAGAGCACTCTAAACAAAGAAGGTTTCACAGTAATTTACATGTTCTTTCTTAGGCCTGATCACCCCGGCGAATCCACACTTCTCAGTACAGAGCTGCACCATCCCGTCATTGTTTCAGGCTTAGGTGGAGCAAGGGAACTAAGGCAACTGGGAGACAAGGAGGTTTTTTCCCAGACGCTGAGAACTCAGGCTATGTCAAAGCTGAGGAGCGAGGGTCTATCACCCCCTTTTGCTGCAGTCCCCCAAGTCCTTCTTTTGGGGGGCCTCCCAAAGTGATCCTGCCTGTCTTAGGTCGTTCCCCCTGTGGGGAATCTTACCCGTCTTTGGCTAACCAACCAAGCTTTTGGGGGTTCAGTTATGAATAAAGCAGCAGAAGCAGCCTTCCTGCCAGGAAGATAAGCTTTTGTCTCCTTGCTGGCTTACAGTTCCAAGGGCGTTCCCTTAGCCTTAGCCTAGGTGGGGGTTTCAGCTTCTGATACCAGTCAGGGCAGTTCCCAACAGAGAGGAAAAAAAAGGAATGGGAGAATGAGGTAAACATACGACCCCTAGACATGTGCCCCACAACCCGCAGCCCTCCTGTGTAAGGGGCCTCGGGCACTGCCATCATCTGTGCCACCACCAACCCCTTGGCTCCCCCATCCTAGCCAAGGATTTACAAAAGAAACCACATCAATACAGGTGGATGGGCAGAGATGAGAAAAGGGCTGGCCCCACTCCCATGGCTGGCAGCTGAGATTCTGGAGGGATATTTCAGCTGCAAAGGTTCCCCCTGAGAAGCACGGGGTCTCAACTCCAAGCTGGGATTCCCAAGCCAGAGCACCAGAATTAGGAAAAGATGCCCACAGGATACCTGACTTTGAAAATAAGTGGGGATTCTGCCTGACAGCATTGTGCTAGAGACACAAATACCTTTTTAAAGGGCAACACACAAAATCTCATTGACAGCCACTGACCCTGGCCTCTGTCAAAGGGAGGGTAGAGTAGAGTAGAGCTGCTTGAGGAGAGATGGGAGGTTATGGCTCAGGGGAGAAAGCTAAAGATATAGTTGCCAAGATCCCTGTGCTGAGCCCTCTCCCACACCACAGATGCCATCTTTCTTGGGTGGAGCACCCCCTTCCATGCAGCATCAGCCTGGGGAAATGCAATAGCCTCATTCTCTGGCTCCCTGTAATCCACGCCTGCTGAGGAGTCAGCTGCCTGGGCCAGGGTATAGAGATCCAAACAGACTCAGGGGGTGTCAGTGACTGAATTGTGTGGCTTTGGGGTGGGGCCATTG